TACCACCAGTCTCTTCACCTCCCCTCTCCCTCGCTCAGTCCTCCCAACCCTACTTCCTACACCCTGCCCTCCCTTCCTCCCGCCCAGGCTTCTGTAACTCGCAACCCCTTGTAGATCCCCGGTCTCAGAGACATGTAGGTGCGGACAAACGGGGAGACAAAGACTGGGGCCGTGGTGCTGGCTCAGATCGTGAAGACGATTCAGTATTTGGATTTAGAGATCCTCCAGTGGATTTTGTTGCTGGATTTTCTCGTTACCATGGGGATATTTTCAAAGAAAACGCTCATGCTGCGAATAATCCCATCAGCGATTCTAAAACCAACAAAGGAGACTTTGTATCCGAGTCTTTCTGTAACTTTGACTCACTTTACAGCAGTGACTCGGAGAAGCAGGACAACACCCTCACTGAGCCTGGGGGGCCCGGTTGCACCACGCCGTATAAAAATATAGATGTTATGATGATGTATTCAAATGGCAGCGGTGCTGTGGGTTCTCTGCACTCAGACCAGAACCCCACCAGAGCCAGAACATACAAAGAGCTGCCGCCTCTCCCCGCATATTACCTGTACTCCCCTAAAAACTGCCCGCTTCACCAAGGTGCCCCCCTTCGCCTTTCCCCTATCGGTGCCCTCTCCCCTCCTCGGCGCTCCGGAGCGGTGGGCTCTCGCCTCCACTCCCCGCTTTCCCCCCGCTCCCACACCCTGCCTGCCCTCGCTCCTCCACTCTACTACCCATACCTTTACCCTCCTATTCCGCCCAGGCCGCCCTCCCTCCCCCCAAAACTCTACCAGGGTCCTCCGCAGTCACGAGTGGCGAGTAAGATCTCTCTCTTTTTCTTGTTCCTCCAACATTTTACATCCCTCTCTCTTTGTCTGTGTGTCACTGTTGCTCTGTTTCTGTTCTTCATTTTCAAGGGGGTGTACAACCCCAACCCTAGAAACTTTGGGAGCTTAACTGTACATATAAACAGAAAGCAATGATTTGCAGATTTCATAAACCCATATGTTATTCTGGGCTGCGATAGCTTGGTGATTAGTGTAGCGGTCCTATATCCGTGAGGTTGGGGGTTTAAGCCCAGGTTGCGTCAAGAAGGGCATCCGGCGTAAAACAAGTTGCCAAATGTTTCATGTGAGTTTGCTCGCTGTGCTGACCCCTGAAGAAGGGAGCAGCTCAAAGAAACTTACTATAAACTTGTATGTTATTCTAAATGGCACATAATAAACATATGAAATGTTTATAAAAGGAGTAATACGACTAATTAACAGCTGTAGAAGCATTTTGCAACCAATTAGGATAAATGGCACCAGGTCAGAAATAGGTCTGGGTATAAAAACAACATTTTAGAGAGGCTGTCAGAAGGAAAAATGGGCAGAGGTTATTCAGTCTACCAAAAACTGTCAAAAATGCTTGAACAGTTGCAAAATGTTGTTCTCCAATTAAAAAACGGGAATACTTTGAAAATCCAATCATCTACAGTTTATTGTCATCACTGCATGGGCTCAGGAACACTTCCCCAAATCCACATCGCTCACTGCGTCATCCACAAACACAGGTTAAAGCTCTATCACGCAAACAAAAAGCCTTGTTTAGATGCCATCCAGAAATGTTGCCTTCTTTGGGTCAAACTGTTCTGTAGTCAGTCAAATCTAATTATTTTTTCAAACTACAGATGCTCCATCCTCTGTCTGTTATCAGCGCTCAGTTCAAAGCCTGTCTCTCTGATGGTATAGGCGTGCATTGGTACCAATGGCACAAGATTTTTTTTTCACATCTGGAAAGGCATCAGCAGTGCAGAAAATATATACAAGTTTTAGAACATAAGCTCCCATCCAGATGTCTTTTGAGAGAAGGCTTTGCTTAATTCAGCAAGCCAATGTTAAAAACCACAGACTGTGCCCTTTACAACAGCATGGCTTCACAGTAGAAGAGTCCAGGTGCTGAACTGACCTGCCTGCTGTCCACACCTCCTATCAACTGTAAACAATCACTTAATCAAATAATGATAATAAAAAAAATAACATTCAAGAAAACTCAGGATGTTGAAGAGCTAGAATCCTACGTTAGACAAAAATGGGACATTTACCTCCAAAATCTCCAGCAGCTGGTCTCTTTAGTTCTCAGACGTTTAGATATGGTTGTTAATAAAATGAAAGGGATGCTTCATCTGTCTCAACCTGTTTGAGGTGTAATCATTCAAAATTACCCGACTTCTTCTAAAAACTGGACAACTTCTTAGTTTAAATGTTGGATATGTTTACTGTGTTCCACTGTGAATAGATCATGGGTTTAAGAGATCTGCAGATCTGTGCATTCTGTTTTCATAAGAAGGTCAAATCATTTCATCTGGACCAGTTTCTTTAAATGTACATTATCCCAGTGAGGGTCACAGATTTGAAGGAACTGTAACAGAAAGCTGCTCCCTGTAGGTCGTCTGACATGTCTTATCCTGCTCTGTCCTTTCAAATCTGGAGACGGCCGTCAGAGGACAAACAGCTGTTCCTGTCACAGGGTTTCTACATTCACTCTCATCACTGTCTCCATCCTCGTTTATCCGTTTGTGTTTGTCCCCTCTGTCTCTGTGTTGTTGTTGTTTCTGCATGATGAGATGAAATGGACACGAGCAGCTGCTCTATAAAGTTGGAATGGAAAAAAAACCCTGAGAGGATAGTGTTGTACTTTTAGTTAGGCTTTTTTAATTTCACCACCTCCTGATGATTGCATATGTATATGTATTTATTCACCAAGTTTATATTAATGCATTTACATAAAGCTCAGAGTATGTATAACACCTGCTCCTGCATGTGTGTGTTTTCATCTAACCTGATTTTAGTGGCTCTTAGTTTGTTTCCAGCTCCTCGTTTGGTCACAGATAGTCACTTTACCAATTATTTTATGTCAATTCATAAAACTTCTCAGTTCGTGTTGTGGATTGTCTTTATCTAATTTTTTATTTTTTTTTGGTAGTTAATATAATTGTGCAAAATCCCAAAGCTCTAGTCCTACTTATAATAATTTTTAGTAACATATAATTAATAATCCTGAAAGTTTTTGTTGTGCATTTTTTATTTCCCTTAACAACATATTTGGGATTAACATAGACCTGAAAAGCTAAAACAGTTTTTATGAAATTTGGAGCAACTTGTAGTAAAAAAAAAAAAAAAAGACAAGAGTCCTTGAATAAAAATAGGTCTTAGTTGTACAGATTAATTATGGCACATGATATAATGTCCTTATAGGAAGACAGGGTCTCCGTAGGCCTTATTTGGACTTAATTTTATTAATTTTTGACATTTTTCATAAACCATAGGCATCACCCATTTTCCTCAAAGTTTGAAATTTGTGCAAAAACGTAAAACTCAAAATATGTTTTTTAATATAAAATGTCAAATAACTCAGAATAAATCAAATTATAACATATAAATGAGGTATTTGTAAAGAATTTTTACATTTTAATAAATGTCGTCATTAGCTTTAACTTTTTTGACGTCAAATGATCTTCATAACATTTTTAGTGATGTAGGGTTCCTGTTGTGAGGGACGATGATTCCATGAATGGGTGTTTTCTTTAAAAAAAAAAATCATTATTTTGATTGTTTATTGGCTTTGATATCATGTTTAGTGGTTTTCATCATTCAGTAGTTTTTGGACATTATTTAATAAATGTAAAATTTACTGTAAAAAAAAAAACCACATGCTGTAAATTCTTTTAGAACGTTTTTATGTTTTCATGACGTCCAACAGTTCTCTGTGTTTATTATAAAAGTTACACGTGATTTTTCACAGTAGAGTATTATATTTATAGAAGTTTTATAAATTAAAATCAATTTTCTTTATAAGAGTCACATTAATCGCAGTCAGACACTATTTCTTGTCACAATCAAACAATGCAAACAAATGCAACTATTTTAATGGAGATGCACAATATTATTGGCATGTATTGGTATCGGCCGATATTAGCGATAAAGTTAAATATTGGACATTCCATCAAAATAACTCAACGGTATTAAAGGTACTGTTTATTAAGGCACTGTTTTTGTATAACAACCCAGTGACAAGGATGCCTGCAGCACCAGCACGTTATGACGTCACGCGCACTGTTGAGTTTAGATTAGTGAAAATGTACAAATTTGCACTGTTCGAATGTTGTCATTGTGTTAGAGAGAGTAAATGTCACAAATAAATTTGACATTAAACATAATCCAAGTTGACGTGTTACATCATTGTCAGCCCCCTTTTTGGCATCTGCATTTTGTAGTAGGCCAGACTGACAAAGACCATGCAGAATAATGTAGTATTTTAATTCCACAGCAGAAAAAGGTATGTAGTCTTTGTAAGTAGGCCTAGGGGAAAAATATCGGTATTGGTATCGATTATCAGCCAAATAAGTTTTTACATATCGGCGTATCGGATATCGGCCAAAAGTCCAATATTGTGCATCCCTATATTTTAATTCTACAGAGTCTTTGTTTGTTTAAAACCTTTTAAAAATGTCGTTTTTTTTTCTGTTGTTTTTAGTTTGTTTAGAAGTTTAGTCTCAGATGTTCCGTTGAAATTATTTTTAGAGTTTTGTGCACGTTCAGTACAAATTTCCAACGTGTTCAGATGAAAACTGAGTGACTGATACGGCTTGAAAAAAAACATAAAATCAAGTTCAAGTTGGGTCACAATCTAAAAAAACGCTTCTGAACAGAGAAGTTCTTGGACTAGAGCTTTGGGATTTTTTAAGGTTTCTGAAATGTGGAGCTTTTCCCAGTCAAATCGGGTGGGTTGTAGAAGTTTTGGTGAGTTGGCATGGAAGGACTTGTGTCGTGAAGCAAACACAAATCCAGATGTGTAAAGCTCACAGGATGTTCTCCCTCACTGTTGTCAGTAGCACCATCTGCTTCCGTCTCCTTATTACTTTATTTAATAATTTATTTACTCCTACTAATAACGCCAGTACTTTAGTTATATTTCAGGACTCGTGCTGTCAGTAATTGCTCATCTGCTCTCGCTGTAAGCTGTTCGCAGCGTCTCGTTCGCCGGCTCCGTACAGAAGAGGGACGCACCCTGGATGGGTGAAGATGTGGAGCGTCCGGTCCGAGGTCTTGGCCTGACCGCTCTGTGTCAGCAGGAGAAAAAAGGTATTTGCGCTCATTTTTTTTGTCTGTGCACGACGTCACATTTTAACAGATGCTTTTTTGTTTGTTTATCTAAAAAAGTTAAATCTGGTCCTCTGGACATTCAAATTGAATGTCCAGAGGACCAGATTTAACTTTTTTAGATTTTTCTACCTGGATTATTGAGCATGCATCAGGATTTTTTGTTTGTTTGTTTACCTGGCTAACCGCAGACTCTTGTTCCTCTCTTCAGCTCTGGTGAGTGCAGTCAGCGTGGCAGTGGAAGCCATCTTGGCCCAGTTTAGTTCTTCCCGGACTGTAGTTCAGAAGGTTAGTTCCCACGAGCTTAGATTTGATCCCTAATCACTTCATGTTTCCATCAAAATGCCTAAATATGTCCCAAGTTCTTAAACCCGTTTCTCCTGATTGCTGCACATCATTCTCCACATCGTCTTTCCTCTCCTCAGGCCTTATCTGGAGACAGCGCCATAAATCCATCTCTGGGCCGTCTGGTGCTGCAGTGCCTCTGCCCCGCCCTGCACAACTTGCTGACTGATGGCTTGAAACCCCACCAGAGTGACCTAATTGCAGGCAGGAGGCCAAACTCCGCCTGGGGTCTGGTCCAGGCGACAACGAGGCCAGGTATTGTACAAAACCCAACAGGTTTGAACGTCAGGAAGCAGATGTTTCTGTGGCTTCTGCTGCCTGCTTGATAATGACAAATCATGTCTGTTATCTTTATTTTTCCTCGCGCATCAATCCATACTTGTTGATTTTAATGTTGAAAGTGCTGAATAATGTGAACCAACAGGATGCACACATCGATTGGCTTATGAGTGCCAAGGCTTCACGGCAATCAATTTTCCCACTCACTCCAACTCGTTTTCCCCCTCTCGCTTTTTTGTTTCTCTCACCCAAGGTCCCAAAACCCAAGCTTTATTCAACCTGCAAGTCCGAGTTTGTGAGCTGCCTCAGCTCAGAGAGAGCAAGCACAGGTTCAATGCTTTCATCTTTGGTCTGCTAAAGTAAGAACAACTCTTTATTATTCGCTTATTTTTAACAAAATCGCAAAAAGAGTTCAAGTGAAACATTTAGCACAGACAGCAGTAGAAAAAAGAAAGTCGTCCGTGTTTCACTTTTAGGATTGTATGTATCATACATTAAAAAATGATCTGCTCTGTACCAGATTTTAAAATGATCCTAATTAACCTCAATTTTACAAAAAGTCACAACAGATTCCACCTCTTCATTATTTATCAAAACAAAAAAAAATAAAATCTAATTGAACCACAAGACTTCTGAAACATTGACCTTTGAACAGATACAACCAAAGGGCAAAGACCTAGCATCTGTGAGGCACAGCGGTGGGGGGGTGATGATTTGGGTTTATTTGGCAGCAACACGACCTGGGCTCCTGTCGGTCAACTCCACTAAATGTATTCAAGGATCTGTCTGACGCTGAAGCTTGGACCAAACTGCGTCATGGAGCAGAACAAAGATCACAAACGCAGCAGCACACCTAGAACAAAACGGCTGAAAAAAGACAAGAATCAAGGTTCTGCAATGGTCCAAAGTCCAGACATGTGGCGGGACCTGAAGAGAGCGAGGCAGAAACAAATGTAAACCTTGAAAAAATGAGGCGGCATTAGAAAGAGTCGTGGGTCAAAATTCCTCCACAACCATGCATGAAACTGATGGTCATAGAAAACCACTGCTTCAACTTAGTGCTGCTTATGATGATGTCACACACAGTTCTTCCATTTAGGCTTTGACTTTCTTTAAAAAATAGTGACGTGGTGGAATCTGTTGTTGTTTTTTTTCTACATTTGAGGTTAGATCTTAATGATTTTAGATCCTCTCTCTGACTGTAGCCTCATTTGTTTCTGTTTTTGCCTCACAGCACCAAGCTTCTGGATTTCTGGCTGTCTCACTTCCAGTCTTGCAGCGGTCAGTTTCCAGCCCGTTACAGACCGTACGGTATGTTCTTGTTGAGCATGCAGGTGCTGTAACAGCAGTGTCTTTTCACCTCAGATGTCCTGGAGGCGTATTACCATCCCAGCTCGTTCATGAGTCTGTCGCTGACCGCCTGCCGGCCTCTGTTCGAGGAGCTGCTCCTCATGTTGCAGCCTCTCAGCCTGCTCACCTTCAACCTGGACCTGCTCTTCCAGCACCACCACCTTGAAGCAGACGCTCAGAGGCCAGAGATAGCCAGCCCTCTGTTTCAGGGGGCCCGGCTGCAGCCACCAACACAAGGCGGATCAAAAACCAGAGGCAGCGGTTACATAGAAACGCTCTCACAAGTAGATTTTGGAAATCCAGAAAATCTAGCAGCTACTAAGTCTTCAGGCAGAGTTAATCCAAAGACTGAAGGATCAGAGGTCTCCACAAAGACATGTGCTGAACCAGTAAAGGCTTCTTTTGGTTTTGAACAAACAAGTCCTCAGCTGCTGTGGGTGCAGGAAAAGGAAATCGGAGCTCTTCCTCCTCCTGATGTGGAGGAAGATAGCTTTGCTCTTCAAGCAGGACAGGTAGCCACGCTTGCTCCGTTTGGTGTTTTGAATCAGATACGATTGTCTACAGAGTTAACTTGTCTTATTTTAATTCTAGGTGATCCAACAGGGATGGGGAGCTGTGGTGCGCTGGGGGGGCCGGCTGAGCCAGAACCTGGCTGAACTGAGCCTGTCTGCAGGGAAAAAGGAGGAGGCCCAGGCAGGAAGTGAGTACGCTCCCGTCAGCGGCGGCACTCCGGTTCCCTGGAGACTGGGTCGACTCTTCGGAGCCTCTAAAAGCCCCAACAGTCCAGCCCGTCACACGCTGCCCACCAGGTGAGAAACTACTCAAAACACAGTAGATGTCAGCGTGGTGGACCTTTGTCCTTACAAACAAGATTAAACAGAAAACTTGATGGTTTTTAAAACTCTGGTTTTAAAATGAGTTTTCAGGATTACTTGTTACACTTTGGTAATTTGGTTTATTTTGAACAGACAATCATTTTAAGCAAAGAATAGAGAAACCAAAAGATAAAGAAAAACCTACGTAGAATAAAAAAGTGCACAAGTATCGCTCCATTTTTTTTCTTTAGCTCAAAAAGGAGCGAGAAGAAGTACTTATTCAATCCCAGCCCTTCACCATTTGTTATCAGTTATTACTTATTTGAGTATTAATACAACCACTAATGGCATTACTATACATGATAACAGTAACGGGGCTGCGGTAGCTTGGTGGTCTGTGCCGCGGTCTTGTAATCCTGAGGTTGCGTGTTCGAGCTCAGGTTGCGTCAGGAAGAGCATCCAAGTGCGTGGTCAAAAACTGAAATGAAACATTTTAAGACCTCTGAAAAATGGGGAAAAGATTTTAAAAAGCATCTGTGGCAATCCATTGAAACAAGTTGACTGTTTATTTGTTTATTTAAGAATCCCCATTAGTTTCTATCGTAGTAGAGACTATTCTTCCTGGGTTCCACACTTAAAACATTGCAATTAAATCAAGCTTTTACAAACATACAAAAAACATAATAAAATATCTAAGATGGTGACCAAGAGATGCAAATCAAGTCCCAGTTTGTGCTGCTTGCAAAAATGTTCTTCTTCAAAACGAGGAAATATATAAAAATTCACCTTTCTCAGATGAGAGCATAACAAACTTTGTTCACCTTAAACAACATCTAGGCTCCTTGGTTTGAATTTGGCCAGGACAGCCACCATGTGGTGGGCACAGAGGCAGAAATATGATGGTATGGGATTAAATCAGTTCACAAATGTTGCAGAGGTAGAATGCCAGTAGAAGATGGTGCTTGATAAAACCCCTGAAGTAAAAAAAATCAAACTTCCATCACAATAACATTAGGAATGTAAATATTTAAAAGAATAAAAATAAATTTAAAATAAAATAAAAAGGTCTTTCTGTGGAAACTTTTTTACAGCAGCTGAAAAATCTACCTTTGAAAAACTACAGAGCAACTCTCCAGTAATTTGTTCGTGTCTAGTGTCCTCCGTGAAGACAAAGATTAAAAGTAAATAATGTGGATGTACATTTTAGGTCTCACTGGACAGCAGCATTTTTAGTCTTTACTGCAACTGGAAGCTGAACTGTCTGATGTTCCCTCCTCAGACGTCCCTCTCAGTGGTTGGCTCCTGGAGTCACCGCTCTGACCCAAATGGTGAGCAGCAGTTCAGCTCCCATACTACGAAGGATCCCCGAGGCCCAGGGAGGAAGCGAGCTGGAATCAGAAGAAGACACTGACACAGTGGAGATGAAGGACAAACCCAAACCACTCAGGTATGACAGACACCAAGAAGATGACGTTTAGATTAAAGACTACTTTTTTTGTTGCCTGAGACGGGACGTAAAGAAACAGACTGTCTGTTGTTTCCCAACAGATAATCTCACAACCACTGGTTCAGATTTTATTCAATTCAATAAAATGACGCATTAAAAAGGAACTGTCCCAAAAATCCAGCTATTTTACTGAGTCAAATCTCTTGGACATTAGCTGCCCAAACAGAGGGTGGTGCTGTTTTATCAGATCAGTGTTTTTGTTTAATAAAGGTATCATGAGTGGTGAGCACGTTCTGCTAATCCGCTAATAGCGGAACTAACTTTCTGTTTAGTGGATTAGCGTTGTTAGGAAAAAAGATAATGAAAGTCACACTCAATGATCAGACTCACAGAGAGGTGAAGAGTCAACCAGCTTTACTTGCATGCAAGAGTTCAAGACACAGACAAGGCACATAATCATTAATCTTTCACACAATGACCAGTACAGTGTCCATAGTTGAACTGATTTGTTCTTGGCTCTGTCATTATTTGTGGTGCTATGCACACACACGGACATGAGCAGCTGTTCCTCTCAGAGGCTCCGTTGTTTTCTGTCTGCTGACAGAGTCTCGTTCCAGACTGCATCAGGTCCTGTGTGTCCTTGGGTTTATAGGAGTGATAAGTTCCAAGGCAGGATGACAGCAGAAGGGCGAGATGTCCTCTGGCACAACATGAAACACTCATAATCCATGATCATAATTTTTATACAGCATTCTCACTAACTTAAAAACCTTTACCGGAATTAGCTTCTGCTAAATTTAAATGCGTTAAATTTGCCCACCAACATTTTTTAAAGACAGTTCTTCACACTACAAGCATACAGGAGAATAGTGGTTTATGGAGCTATGCTATGAGAGCTAAGCACCATCTGGTGACATCACCACCCTTACGGTGCCCCCCACCCCCAGCTCATATCTACCACAAACAGTCTGTGACTCATGGTGTCAGTTTACAGTCAATAGCAGAGACTTTAACATAAATGACAAACCAAACCAGAACAGGAAAATAACATGAAAAAAAAACAACATTTTCACATTTGGAAACATTGTAAACAGTCAGAAACTAGAATTGCGCCGCTCAAGGTGGCTGCATGTTGGAGCAGCTCTGTTACTTTCATTCGGAGAGTTTGCTTTTGGAAACTTTAATTCCTCTTTTTCTGGAAGTAAATCACAGTTTTTGGATGATTGTTTCCTCTGGTATCAGATGCTGTGCAGCTGGAAGGATTTTTACTGAAACTTTTTTAGTTTTGGACATTTGTTATGATATGTAACCATGGCAACAAGGCAGTTATCTACAACCAACAGCAGCTGATTAACATCTAAAAAGCTCAAATAATATCTCAAGTACAGCCCCAAATCTCAAATGAGTGGAAAAGGATGTTCTGTGGACGCATTCTCGTCTACCTGCCGGCTGTGCTCGGGTGCCTGATCACTGGGATCCTGGGGCTGGCAGGAGGCGCGGCTCGTGGTAGCGGAGGGACGGGATCGTTCCTCGGCACCTACAGTTGGCTCTCCGCATCAACGAGGAGCTTGGCAGACTGCTGGGAGGAGTTCTGCCCGGCATTCGGGCGGGCCTACAGCCCGGGGGAACCAAGAGGCCAGCCGAGTCTGGGTAGACGGATCGGACAGCATCTGCAGCCAGTTTCTTGGGATCCACTGTGGGATGGACCTTTACAAGTGATCCTTCCTGTCTACTGCCATCAACATCTATAACATCTCTTAATGATATGAGGATAACGAGTTACAATAACAAATAATTTCCCTTTGGGATTAATAAAGTATTTTTGAATTGAATTGAATTGAAACATTTTATACATAATTCCTATCCAGCATTCATTGCAACGCTCACACTGTCTCTGGGATGTGACTCTCTCACACATTTCTTCACACATCTTTACTTTAATACAAACAGATTTATTACTGAGAGAATATTGACAATGAAGCACAGTAACTTTGTAGTTTAAAAAATAAAAACAGAGGATCACCAAAGTGAGTTAATTAATTATAGCAAATGATAAGAGGAGACGTCCGACACACATTGAATGCATCACTCTGCTTCAGCACTTCAGAGTTCTGCTCTGCCTCTTTGGTTCTGATGGACCGGATTAATTTCTGAAAGCTCACCTCTGAACAGGACAAGGAGGCTTTACTTGTGATGTATGAACCGCTTTGAGTTGTGTTCACTTACAACGTTGTCACATTACAGTCTTACGTGTCAGCGACAGCAGTGTATGATAAAAGTTAGCACTTTAGAGTTAGCTTCCGAATTTTTTTTTATTTTTATCTGTTTAGCAGTTTAGTGTTAAGGAAGCTAACACCACTGAGTATTATATAATAAAATACAACTTGGTTTTATTTTAAAAAGCTGTTTATGGACAGGTATTATTAGTATATTTGGTATTTTTTAGATAATGAGCTCTACTTCAAAACAGGTTCGTCATGGAAAGTTTAAAATAAATAAAAACACATCTCTTTCTTTTGTTTGCTACTTTTGTTATCCCTCAGAGAGCAGTGGGTGTAACAGAAACCAGAATAGCTCCTGTTTTCGCTGTTTTTGTCTGTTAACTGGTGACTCACCAGTCTGACTGACTATAATGATTGTGACTCATCAGTCTCGTATCATATATGACCCGTGTTGGCAACGAGCTCAGGCTGAGATACAAAACGTGAAAATATTGATTATAGCCGTAATTGAGATTAGCTAAAAAACAAGACCTTAAAGACATCATCCAGTGGTCCCAGGAACTGAAGTAGCATACAGTCTTAATGAGCTAATTTTAAATTCCCTAACATGTATTCAGAAATAATCATTATAATTTTTATCGTATTGATTTCTTTTGAAATTGACATGTTTCTCTTTCGGCTGCCATAGCGACGGGAAATCCCTTCGTATAACATTTGGCTTGGAGATTTCGTTTTTTAAATATACGACTGGAACTGCTGATGACATCAATTTAGGCCAATAACAATCAGGTTTTCAAATCGCCAAATTTAAATAAACCACGCATCATTGTGAAGCATTTGAGAAAAGTTGATAATAATAATAGAAACATTGAAAAATTACTTATTGTGACTTAATTTGCCACCATGGGCCACATATGTTGACATTTGTTGCGTTTGATGATAACCGAACCAAGTTTTCTGCCTCAGGTCCGTTCGAATGCTGTGCGACCACACGGGAACCGGTTCGGAGCTCAGCTTCTGCAAAGGGGAGGAACTCGTGGTGTTAGGAGGCGTTGATCAGGACTGGATTCGATGTCGTCAGGGAGACAAGGAGGGGATGGTACCTATTGGCTACACCTCCCTTATCATGTGACAACACTAAAACTGCTGCATTAATTCAATACAGAAAGAAAAATACATATAAAATATATACATATATGAATATATATATTTTAGGTGAGCATTGAGAGGTTGTGGGGACAATGCACCACTCTGAAAGGGATACTTTGCACTGGTTTGATTACAGTTTGAGTTGAGAGCATAACGCCATCTGTTCTGCTTTGCTTTGATCACAAGTAGTCTTCAACCCTCTCCTGTTATGAACATACAGGATGTTTTTCCATCGCAGTCCATCCAGTTTGGTAGCATTCGGCTAATGGGTTTAAGCAGCAGGAAGACAGCAGATGGTGTGAAATAATGACTCAACTCAAATTTAGATCGCTATCTTTGAGTGAACTATCCCTTTTTAATGTCTTTCCTAATGTCTGCCCTCCATGTTCTGCCCATTTGAACTCTTCCTGACATTAGGAGGGGAGAGTCGACACTTTGGTTGGGAGTTATGGCAGGCTTGTGATCAAGTGGAGAAAGTACGTTAGAGTACTGCGTTGCAGCTCCTGGTGCATATCGCATATCAATATAGTAAATTGTAGCTGTGTAGGTCTGTGCTGTATTGATCTTTCACCCTTCTTGACCTCTCATCTTTGGCCCAGTTTGTGTGTGTGTTTATTCTAAAATATTTGATAGTATACAAGTATATATAAAGAATCTGTGTATAGCTACATAAACTGAGATTGATATTTCCAAGATAGATAGAAAGATAGCTGTCAGTGAGAGAAAATTGTAGGTTTGGTGTGGGAGTGATTGACAGATTCATTTTTACACATACGACTTGCCTCACCCATCAAGTAAATGTCCTGCAAGATAAAATGTTTTAAGTATAAAATCCAGTATCTTCCATCCTGCTTCATGTGTTGCCATAATAGTACATTATTCAATATATTGCGTCATTTTCAACACAACATGCATTTTAATAGGCCATAAATGTTTTGGTGGTACTTACAGAATGACAAAAAACAATTGACAGTACAGTGGAAAAGTCTTGTCAGAAAAAAAAAAATTTGAAAATAGAGCTTCCATAGAGCTTAACATTTTTTGTAGTTTTTAAAAGTATTCTTGATCAATAGTTCTCTTGACTTTCATTTTTTTTTTCCCTTCTGAACAACTTCGCCAACTGGGGGGAGGGGGGGGGTAGCAGAAGAAGAACAACATATAGTTGTCAAAAGCCTAGAGGGCCCTCTTGTGGCTGCAAATGGTAATGTTTACTCAACATTTAACACATCAGTGAAAAATTGCGTCATGAATAGGGAAAAAAAAAAAAACGTATATAAGTCGCTTCAGACGATACATCGCAGGACAGGCCAAACTATTAAAAAACAGCAACTTATATTCTGAAAATTATTCAGGTAAAAATAAAGTGTACTAAACTCAAGGTTTGTAATTGCATAATCAAGTTCTACACGACAGCCAGCCAGCAAGTTAGTTAGTTAATTACTTAATTATTTAAACTTTTTTAAATACAAAAAAGAGAAAATCTAGTAACTGAAGAAAGCTACTAGTTAATTGGCTAGGAAGTAACTAGCCAGCTAGCTACTAACTTGCTAGAAAACTAGCTTGCTAGTTGACTACTTGTTTTAGCTAGGATTAATAGAAAAAAATCATAAGCAAATTACTGGCTAGCTTACCAGACACTAATTTTAACTTGCTTTAGCTAGAATCAAATAGAAAATAGCTGCATGTTACTAGCTAGCTAGTTAATAACTAACATAGGTATAACCAGTAACTTTCTTTTAATTTAATAAATACAAACTAACCTAAATAAGCTTTTAGCTAACTGGCTTGAAGTTACTAACTAGCTAGCTAGTTAATAATTTTCTAGCGAGCTAGCTTGCTTGTAACTTGTTTTAGTAGGTAAGATGACTAGAAGCTAACCTAAGCAAATTACTAGTTAGCTTTCTAGACATTGGCTATAACTGGTAACTTGCTTTAGCAAAGCTAATATAAAAACTAAATTCTTGTTAATAGCTAGCTAGTAATTTGCTATAACTGGTAGTGTGCAGGAGCAAGTTATTAGCTAGCTGGTTAGTGAGTGGTGTAGTAGAAATGTTGATACTAGAAGACTCACAGACACGGTTTATCATTTCATTAGATGAATCTAAGTAAAGTACTGAAGATAACCATTTGATGGATTAAGCTTTTCAGTTTCTATTCACTAGCTGTACAGTAGATACTTTTAATGCTTGAAATGTCTTTTTTCCCTCCACTTCTCCACCTTTAAATTTTTTTTTTTACAGCTCTTAAAGCTCACGCAGCTATCATAGCAACTACATGAAATGAAGTGAAAATAGCTTGGAAAGCAGCCAAATTTCTACGTGAAACATTGAAAGACCTCCAGTAAGTCTGGCGAACTAATGTTTAAGACACTTTTAAAGTAATACAAAAAGGTTTGGCTGTTTGGAAGCAAAGCATAAAGAAATTAGGGGTGCTTCAAACATTTATACATTATGTATAGATCACACGGGGTTATTAAAGGTAATGCCATCAACAGCAAACTGTGGCTCACTTTATGTACGGAGCAACAACCTCACTAAACCATCTTCGGCTCTTACATCTGAAACAAAAAGTGAATGCGATGAGGAAGATCCCCGATGTGAAGCATCTCCTAAATGCTACGGTAAAGCTTATAGGTTTGGCGGCTGGTCTTTTTCTTGTACCTCAGCTTTTGTATTTATCCTTCTGCCATGTTTTCTGATCAAAATCATTAATATTAATGATCGTGGTAGTGGTGGAAGTGATATGTTTTGTTCTGATCTTGCTCATATGGAATGTGTTGCTTTTGTATCATTTAATTATTTGTTATTACTGGTAATCTATATTCTGCATTATTCACTATGCATAGATGTGTTCAACTGTTTTGTTTAAAATCAGCCCTTTAGTTTCATGCACATCAGAGACATTCAACAATAGCTTAAAGTTGCTAAATGTAAAGACATTGAAAAACCTCTGATTCAGCAGGAATGTTTCATTGCCATTAAAAAAAAAAATCAGGGAAAACTCCTCGTGTTTATCGTGAACGTGCCATGTAGCATGAGATTACTGGCACTATGACGACAGTCCAGTAGCAGCAAAATAAACCATTGCTCATAATGTAAATAATGATCATGACAAAATGGCATCAAATTGAAAGTAATAAGAATTTGTGTCAACATAGATTGAATATGAGACGACTTATAAAATCTTTTTTTTTAAATATATGATTGTTTGAAAGCTGATAATTTATTGGATGTACTATTTATTGATATTTGAAAGGAATAGCTCTATTTATCTGGGTTCTATATGAGTGAGAGCATGGAGGTGAAAGCAGAGATGATTGTGAGCACTTTGACGTGACCGTCACTGCGTGTGGATGCGTGTGGATGCGTGTGGATGCGTGTGTGTAAAACAGCGAGTCCTGTACGTCCTCTTCCTTCTCTTTCTGGTGTGACGTAGCCTGTGGACGTCTCCATGTCTCTTTGTTGCATATAGTTCAATGCTCCTCTAGTGTCAGTCAGTGTCCACTTCCTGCATGTGCTTGTTTGTAAATACACCAAATAAAAGATATCTGTATGAACCAAACTTGTTCAGTTTTGTTTTTGTCACATTTTTGAAAAATAGTTTGATTTAGGAATTGTTTAAAAAAAAAAAGTTTGTATGTCATTCGTGGTTATCTACAAAACATTAGAGCCACAGGGTTTGAATGTGGACTGTCTGATGATTCTACGGTAATGTAGAACTGCAAATCAAAAATCCAAGATGGCCACCTGAGCTAAAAAAAAGTTAAACGCCATAAATCAGCCAATTTTAGTGATATTGAGCTGAAATTTGGTGTGATAGCTGAAAGTTTCCCATCAAATACTGCATCCAAATCGAAAATCCAAGATGGCCACCAAAGCTACATTAAAATGGCTTTAACTCAGCCATTTTTACACATATAAAGCTGGAATTTGGTTTGAGTATAACTGAGAACATTTCCCGTCACATCCAAATCCAAACTCCAAGATGGCCACCTTAGTTAAAAAAGAAAAAAATAAGATAACAGACATTTTTAGAGTTATTCAGCTGAAATTTGCTATAGTAGTAGAGCCCCAACACATCCCCATCAAAGTTTCCCCAGAAAATTTCAAGTTTTAAGAAAAACATCAGAATTCTGACTTTTACTAGGATTTTGAGAGAAATTTTTATTTTTTTGTCATTTGTCCCTAATCCCCTTTCGTAGTTACCACTTTTCTACCATATATTCTATCTAAAATATTGGAACTTCAAACATCTTAGTGCTTTTTGGAAAACTCATTTGGACACTTTTCTGGCAAGGTATTTGTATTTATTTGTCAAGTGTACCTCATGAATTGATCATTTTCCACCAGCAGAGTTTGATGATGAGAAAGACTTTAGAAGAAAAGTTATTTTATTCACTTTGAGAAAACTCACAATACTTATCAGTACACTTGTACTCATGGAAAAGTGGTCACCATTAACCACTTGAGATAGAACCAGCTCGATAGAAAAAAGTACTATAGTACCCAAAAGTAACTGGAAGAAAAAAAACTAACCATTGACCATATCTAAAGAGTTGAAAGAAAAGTTTTCAGTATGGCAACGAAGGATTTAATTTTAGCTTTCCTGGCAGTTATTGGTGAGGTTTTCATGGGGGTGCAGGTGTTGATGGACCATCAGATTAAGATGGTCACACCTGAACCCCACTGGAAACTTGTGGAAGTGGCTAAATTAGCTCTGTCACAGTGAAAGACTTAACAAAAAAGGTAGCAAGATGGAAGCTGTGATTTAAAATCAGGGGTTTTGCACCAAAAGTGATTTCTGATTCCTCACTAGGTTCAAACATTTGTACTGTGATGCAGAAAAAGAATATAACTTTGGTTTATTTGCATTATTTGACATATGAAAACTGCACTTTTTTTTGGCATTTTGACCATTAGTTGTGTTCTGCAAAACACAAGCTCAAAATGAGAATATTTTTGTTTGAAACAAACTATGTCAGAGGGGTATTATTCAGATAAATCAGAGTAAATGAGACAAACTCATTTTCAGTGGTCTCTTCCAGAGCTGTTTTTTTTTTTGCACATGCTCAGTGGAGTTTGAACATCTGTTGTAAAAGACGAGCCTTATGTACCAACAGGTTTTGGAATAATTTATGGAAGACCATTAGAGCCACGTGGAAAGAAAAAAATATATATATTTTATAGATTTACTTTACCCGCTTCTTCCTTTTCGGGTCACTCACTGGTGCCCATGTCCAGCGAGGCAGGGGACACCTTGGACAGGTCTCCAGACAGGTCTCCAGTCCATCACAGGGACACAGAGACAGTCATTCACTCTCACACCTAGTGACAATTTAAAGTTACCAATCAGCCTAACATGCATGTTTTTGTTATGTGGGAGGAAAACCATGCATGGAGAGAACATGCAAACTCCACCCAGAAGAGTCCCCAGCTGGGATTTGATCCGGCGACGAGAGGTGCAGCTCTACCATCTGTGCCACCGTGCTGCCAAACATGATGCTAGATTTTCTAATCTTTCATAACTCATGGTCTCCAAAATGTTGAAAGGTTCTGGGTTTATTGAAGCTTTCTGTAGATTAAAGAATAAGTGTTGGACAAACAGGACACAATGTTTTACAAACCGGATTCCAAAAAAGTTGGGACACTAAACAAATTGTGAAAAAAAACTGAATGCAATGATGTGGAGGTGCCAACATCTAATATTTTATTCAGAGTAGAACACAAATCACAGATCAAAAGTTTAAACTGAGAGAATGTATCGTTTTAAGGGAAAAATCTGTTTCCAAATTTCATGGCGTCAACAAATCCCAAAAAGTTGGGACAAGTCCATTTTTACCACTGTGTGGCATCCCCCCTTCTTCTTACAACACTCAACAGACGTCTGGGGACAGAGGAGACCAGTTTCTCAAGTTTAGAAATAGGAATGCTCTCCCATTCATGTCTAATACAGGCCTCTAACTGTTCAATCGTCTTGGG